CTTAGTGGTACTAAGAGACTTGTCTTCTAGCTCATTGATTCTTCCATCCATCTCATCTATTCTACTCCTCTGCCCTTTCAAAGAATTTTCTATTTCTGCCATTTTGTTGTTGATTGCTTGGACCTCTTTCTGTATGTTTTGGAATGATACCAATGCTGTATCTATCTTGTTTGATTGTTCTTGTAACACTTTTCAGACTTCTTCCTTATTTTTCTCAACTCCATTGTAAAGTGTTTTGAAACATTTTATAATCATTTTTCTGAATTCCTTCTCAGGTATTTCCAAGGCCGGCCCTCCTTCCAGCATGGAGAGAAGGTCTACTTCTGGTTCACTTGTCTCAGATATTTTATCTTTTTTCTTGACATGTGCCGATATGGTCATCTGCTTTTTCTTCTTGGACATGTTTAATGTTTATCTGTGGCCCTAATAATTAATTATATACTTTGGTAATTTTTTATGTTTTCTGATTGCCTCCAGGAATATGTGATCAGGTTGTGGTCTTCCCTTTTCACTCTTCTTTTTTTTTTAACTCAGAGTAGCTCTTACAGTTGTTGTCTTTTCCCTGGTTTATGGCAGCTGGTATTGGTTCTTGCCTGGGTTTTGATGTTTTATAAAGTGTTGTTGCAGCTTGGCTATTTGGCAGCAGTTGCTGACTCTTTTCGTGTAATGTAGGGGGACAAAGAGTCCTCCAATAGCAGAGGGAAGGCTATGTGACAGCCCAACAACACCAGTCATGTAGAAAACAAAGCCAAAATCAAAATCAAAACCAAAAGCAGAGTTCTCCGATAACAGATGGGAGTCTATATGACAGCCAAGCAACACCAGTCTGGTAGAAAACAAAACCAAAATAAAAATAAAAAACAAAAGGGATAATGAGATAAAAACAAAGCAAGACAATTCAGCATCAGAAAAATCAACGAGATTAATTAAGGCAATCTCTAGTCACATACCCACAAAAAAAAAAGGAAAAAAAAAAAAGGAATCTGTATAGGGTTTTTAAGGAGCAACTGGTGGGCACAAACCATCAACCTTGTAGTTCAAAAGGCTCTGCAGTCTGGTCCTTTAACCTGCAGAGCCACAGCAAGACTGCCTTGTTGCTGGTGGTAAAAACCCACTTAAAAGCGTCTCTGCTTGTGCTGGTTTGTGCCTTGATGGGCGGGCCTGAGCCTCAGAGGTTGAGCAGAGGGCTAGTCTAGGCAGAAGGGGTAGAGGGCAGGATTAGTGGCTGCAGGCAGATGGTGTCCCTGTCTGATGACATCAAAAAATTATTCTCTCTCCCTGCGCCGTGGGCACCCGGCCCGATAACGCCTCCCATGGCAATGACCCCCCCCCCCTACGAAGGACTGTGCCAGTTCCTGTGGCCCTGATGGCTCTCTGGGTGGGCTTGCCCTCTGAACGGGTCTGCTCAAGCCCCGCGCGCAGTCCCATGGGAGCCGAGCCCAGGCGAGTGTAGGTGGGTGGAGGCCCCAAATGCCCACAACTCCCCAACAGCTCAACCCTTCAAAAAAGCAAGTCCTCAATATTGGAGGTTAAAGTCTTACGTTTGCCCAAAGGCTGTCTGTCTACCTGGCAAGGGCCTCCTCTATGTGATACCACTCCCCCTTCCCTAGAGCCCACACACCTGTGCTGCCCAGTCAGGGAAGCGCCGGAAGTCTCCTACACTATTTTTACAATTTTTTAAAATTAAAAATAAGCTATTAAACATTGCAAAATATACACAATCCATCCAGCGAGATGGATTGTCAATGTGGCAGCATCAATGAGTTTGAGAATGGCAACAATTGTGATGTTGTCCCAGGATTAGGCAGTGTTTCATTATGGTGTGCATAGGGTTGTTATGAGTCGGTACTGAGTTGATGGCATCTAACAACAACAACACCTGAACTAACACGAATTGAAGTAGAAAACTTGAACAGACCTATAGCAAAAGAATAATTTTATTAGTTAATTTAAAAACTCCTAACTCTGGTAGCATAGTGGTTACTAATCAGGCTGTGAACCTTAAGGTCAGCGGATCGAAACTACCAGCAGCTCCGCAGGAGAAAGATGAGGCTTTCTACTCCCGTAAAGATTTAAACCCTCGGAAACCCTGTACAGGGTCGCTGTGGGTCAGAGCCGACTCAACTGCACTTAACAACAACAACAACAACTAAAGTCTAGGCCTAGATGTCTTTATTGGTGAATTTCAACAAACATTCAGAGAAAAGCTCATATCAATTTGGCTCAAATTACTTATGAACATAGAAGAAGATGGAAAACCCTTGAATTCATTTTATGAAGTGAGTATAAACCTCATACCAAAACCAGGAAAAATCATCACTAAAATAAAGACAATTATCCACATATATCTCTCATAATTTATCCTGGTGTGGCATGGAGGGATAATCCACTGGACTGCAAGACAAATTTTAATTGCAGTATTGAAGGTTCAAACTCACTAGCAGCATCTCGGAATGAATATATGATTGATATGAGTATGAACTGACTCATGGGCACTTAACGGCAACAACAATCTCTCATAAACATAGATGCAAAAATTTATAGTGAAATTCTATCCAATAGAATTCAACAACATATAAAAAAAAAATCCATCAAGAAAAAGTGGGATTCATACTAGGAATGCAAGGATGGTTCAATATTGACAAACAATCAACATGATCCACCATATAAATTATTAAAAGGAAAAGAACCACATGATCCTATCAATTGATGCAGAAAAGACATATCACAAAATCAAACATCCTTTCTTGATAAAAATATACAAAAAGTAGAAATTGAAGGGAAATTCCACAACATGGTTAAGAGCATATATACAAAAGCAACAACAGCCAACATTACTCTCAATAGAGAGAAATTGTAAGTATTCCTTATGCAAAAGAATGATACAAGACCCTTATATTACACCATGTACAGAAACAAACTCAACATGGATTAAAGTCCTACCTGTAAAACCTAGAGCATCAGTGAAAAAATAGGAACAAATTTGGCAGCTTTAATACATGTCATAAATACACTATCAAGCATTGCAAAATATACACAAGCAGTAGAAGGTAACATGGATGACTTGATGTTGTAAGGTGCCATTGAGTTTGCTCTGACTCATAGCGACCATATGCACAACAGAATGAAACACTGTCAGGTCCTAGGCCAATCTCACAATTGTTGCCACGCTTGAGCCCATTGATGCCAATCCATGTCACTGGGGGTCTTCCTCTTTTTCTCTGACCCTCCAACTAACCAAACATGATATCCTTCTCCAGCACCTGGTCCCTCCTGATAAGATATCCGAATTATGTGAGACAAAGTTTGACCATCCTGGCCTCCAAGGAGCACTCTGGGTGCACTTCTTCCAACACACATCTTTTTGTTCTTTTGGCAGCCCATGGTACTTTCATTATTCTCCTCTAGCACTATAACTCAAATGCATGAATTCTTCTATGGTCTTCTTATTCACTGTCTAGTTTTCACATGCATACAAGGCCATTGAAAACACCATGTCTTGGATCAGGTGCACCCTACTTCTCAAGCAGACCTCTTTTCTCTTCAACACTTTAAAAAAAGGTCTTGTGCAGCAGAATTGCCTAATGCAATACATCATTTAATTTCTTCACTGCTGCTTCCACGAGTGCCAATGGTTGATCCAAGAAGAATGAAGTCCTTGACAACTTCAATCTGACTAAGAACTCCTAAAAATTTTAAACATATGTGCATCAAATATTTTACTAAAAGAGTAAAAAGATGACCCACAGATGGAAGACAAAAACAAAACAAAACAATACAAAAACTTTCAACAACGTTTCAGACAAGGGAATGATTTCTAAAATTTATAGAAATGTATACCTATTCAAGTAAAATGACATGTTACCTAATTAAAAAATATTCACGGGACATGAACAGACACTTAACCAAGGAAAACATTCAGGCAGCCAACAGACGTAGGAAGAAATGTTCATAATCATTAGTCATTGTTATTATTGTTACATTAATAATGAAGACAGGGGAAGACTCAGTGAAGTGTCCTCTGGCTAAATGGGATAGAGGTAAATAGCAATATGTACATAAACTTGGAAGAATAGTGTTCTGTAAGTAGATACATGGATTGAGACATAGGCTGAATGGGTAAGGGGGAAAAAAAGTTAATGTTTTTGACTGCTTAGTGAATATTAGTTTCCCCTGCCTACTATTGTAAAATAGGCATTCATGTATGACAGAAAACAAACAAACAAACAAACAAACAAACAAACAGGGAATTATGATTACAAGAATCTTGTAAGCCTTCCTTCAGTCTAACTAGCTAAGGTAAAAAGGGAGTTATAATTTATCCAGAAAGATAGGTTTCTTATTTAGCCTTTGTAGAGTATGATGACTTAGGTGTAATCCTTAACCCCATCCAGAACCTTGTGAATGGGTATATTTGAATTTGAAAGGACATGCAGACCAACCCATAACTGCTGGGAGAATAGAAGATTCTTATTGAATGAAAGAACTGCAGAACAAAGTGGACTGATTTGTTTGTGAGTATCAAGCAAGCTGTTCACTTTGGAGGCATCAAGGCAAAGTACTCAGACTGTCAGTAAAAAAACAACAAAAACAAAAATACACAACAAAACCCTTCTAGGACTAGAAACATAAAGGGAATCTGCACACAGTCTAGTTTGCTCACTGGTGGACACCTGGTTCTACCTGTGAGTGGTAGTGAGGAAAATGCAGCAATGAAGACACAGGTTGAGTTTGGATTTGTTTGATTGGAACCCATTAACCTTGAGATGAGAGCGAGAAGAGAAAGGACTAGGTGTTTTAAAGTTTAGTGATAAGAATGAACTCCTGAGCCCTTGGGCACTGACATAGCCCCTGAAGCCTAGGGCTGAGAGTGAAGGGACAAGCTGGTCTGAAGTGCAGGAAGATGTGCATAAACTCCTGAACTTAGTTGTGGCAGGAGAGGGGCGGGGCTCTGCTCCAGTACTGACCCTGCCTTCACCACCGCCGCCAGCCGTGCAGCCATGTCCGAGGAGAAGCCTAAGGAGGGAGTGAAGACGGAGAATGACCACATCAACCTGAAGGTGGCTGGGCAGGATGGCTCTGTTGTCCAGTTCAAAATCAAGAGGCACACGCCACTGAGCAAGCTGATGAAGGCTTACTGCGAGCGACAGGGCTTATCTATGAGACAGATGAGATACAGGTTTCACGGGCAGCCAATTAATGAAACAGACACCCCAGAACAGCTGGAGATGGAAGATAAAGACACGATTGATGTGTTCCAGCAACAGACAGGTAGCATGCATGCGGCTGGAGTCCTCTTGGGATGTGACATGTAGGGGCCCATCTCATGCCCGTGTCACCTGTCTTTGCATTTGCGATCCAGTAGTAAACAAGTGAACACGCCAACACAAAGGAGTCTGCGGAAACTTGAGGACAGTCACCAAATTACTTTTGTCTCTGACATACTTCAAGAGCAACTCAACACTATTTCTGCAGGGATTAATCTATAACTGAAATTGGGCCAATACAAATTGCTATCTTTATTTAGGTAAAATGAGTTGCAAGGTTTTTGGGGCTTGTTTTTGTTTTTCCCCCTCCTGTAACACTTTTCCACCAAACTTGTGGCCTGACTTGTCCATTTCAGTCTGTGGGTGAAGATCTTGCCCCTCCCCCATGTTGTGATCCTCCCTCCCCTCATGCTTCATCTAATCATGTAGTTAGCTCCTATATACTGCAGTGGGTGCTTCTTCTGGACATGCATTTTGGGGTTTTGGTGGGGATGGAAGACAAAATTTCACTTGCTATTTGTTTGAGAAACAGCTAAATACCTAGATAATTGCAAATTTAAACTGTCAGAATCTGATCAAGTCAAAGGGAAAATATTAGAATGCTGCTTAAAAAGCAAAAATGGAAACTGTGTTCCGATAATCCTCACCCCTTGAAGTGTATCCCCAAAGGGCCATATGGCCTAGGATCCCCACCAGCGCTACTTACTCAGTACCTGTTGCTTGGTGTAGCGGACTACAATTGCATAACTCAACCAACTTCTCCCCCTATTTTTTTTTTTTTTCCATAGAGGATAAAGTAATGAATACAATTCCCATTTGGTAATAGTATTGTGGTTCCATTACTTCTAGTATTTGTTTCTGATGAATAATTGTGGTCTCTATATAAAAACATAAGATTAAGTATTGCTGAATTGGCAGTTAACGTTGTTGTGTTCAAGAGCTACTTCGAAGTGTGGTGACAAATGAAACCCATAGAAAGATGACTTCATGTTATTCTCACGGATTTTTGCTATGCTGCTTTACAAATATGTATTAAATTTATGCATTGGTATGGTGATTTCAGTTCTGTGAACTATTTTGGAATGTATACCATTTAGATAGAAATGATGATGGAGAACAAATGATAGATTTCTGCAAGACAAATGATTTGTTTATTTCAAATACCTCTTTAGATAGCATAACAGATGACTATACACATGGACCTC